CCCCCCCCCCCCCCTTTCATGCTATCCTGGGCCAAACCCTTATCCTGGGCTAACCCCCCCCCCCCCCGGGTTATCTCAGGCTAAACCTCTATCCCAGGCTACCCCTTCTTATCTCAGGCTAAGCCCCCATCCTGGGCTGACCCCTTACTCTCCTGGGATAAGTCCTCTCCCTGTCGTGCCCTTCTGCAGTGCTGCTGCCTGCCTGTCTTGCCCTTCCAGGGGTGCCGGTGGGGCAGATGCACCTGCCCCACTACTCTAGGGCAGGCGCTGGTGCCCACAGCGCTTCCTTGGCTCTCCCGGGCTAGGCGATGCTCCGAGCTACTTCTGTCCCCCGGGCAGAGCTGCGGGCCTTGCCCTGTGCAGGAGGGCAGAGCATGCCAGTCTCTTCTGTGCAGCTTCCCTTCCACAGGGGGAGAACAGCTGGGTAGGGCCCTGGAGCTGTGGTGGGATCACCCCAGGTGGGGCTTCCCTCTGGGAGAGGGGCTGGGACATGGTTGGCTTTGCCCCAGGCTCAGCCTGTGCCCGTCCGTTGTTCACAGCTGAGCCCCAAGTCCTGCTAGCTTCCTTGTGTCTGCCTTGGGGACAGTGATTTGTCTGCGTCCCGCCTGTCTGCGGGGATGAGACGCAGCCTTGCTGGGCGGCTTCAAGGCTGGCCCTGGTCTCCAGCCGCTCATGCCTGGCCTCTCGCCTGCTTTTGGCTGGTGTCTGGCTGCAGTCCTGGCGGCACGATATTGAGGTTGTGTCTGCGCTAGTCTGAAGTCAGGCAGAAAGCGGGGTGGATTTGTACCTCGTAAACTAACTCGGACGTGTAGAGCATGAGTTTGTGTGAGCAGAGCTGGGCAGACTTCATCTGCTGCGTCCTAAAATATTATGCTGTTCTTGCTGAACGCTGATTTGCCCTAAAAGGAGAAACGCCTCATCTCTGGAACCGAAAGCAACACCTCCCTTGAGCTCTTGGGACATCCTGTAGGTCCTGGGGTTGCTCTGGTGGCTTGAGCTTCGTGTTGGTGTGACATGGGTTTAGCTGCAATTTGAGTGGTGCTGTGTTATCGAGCATTGGCCTTGTTTCCTACTGATATTATGCCCTGAGCTGCTTTCTCTTTCCCAGCCTCCTCCAAGAGCTTTGAGCAATTTATTCCAGTCTGAGCCTCTTGGCTGCTCCCAGTTTCGAATCCAAGCTATTTCATGTCCCTACTTAAATGGATGTTGCCATTTATTAGTGGGTGGGATTTACATGGAGGAATGAATTGTCAAATTGAAAGCGACATGGTACTATAGATTTAAAAAAACAAGATATGCATATTTAAAAATGCCCCCTGTTTTCAGTTGTTGTCTTTGCACAACTATCAATAGCTTAAAGAAATCAATGTACAGAATTTCCAGCTTAATACACAGATGCTTTATGTTGGCGGTATTGTATAAAGGAATTGAAGGGAACGCAAACTCAGTGTATGTGTAGTTACAGTAACACAGAATTGAACGGTATCTCAAATGATAGCTGTTTCATTTAAGGATGATGGGAAATGGATGATAATTTCATAGCTCAAAAAGTGTTTTTGGTGGGCTGTAACTGCACCTTTTAGTCCCCAAGTACATTAAGTACTTTGCTGCAAGTAGCAGGATGGCTTCAGGTTGTATGTATTCTTTTTGGGTGTAGAAGTAATACACCTGTCATTAGAAGTGCCAGCCAACGTTGGGATCCTGTATGGTTAGACACAATATATTACAGAATAAAAGAAAGATCTGTGCCCCAGGGCACTTCCAGTTTGCACTTAAGGTCAAGATGTGGGTTTTACGCTGTCGTTCCGTAGAGCAGCTAGAGCAGGACGTGACCACGGATCCTGGTTTTTTCCACTTAAAAACAATCCCTAGTTTCTGGATTAAAAAAGTCACGAGAGAGAGAATTTAATCACTTTTGTATATGTATGTGCGGTGTTTCATTTTAATCACGGAAAAATGCTGATTTGGGGTGACTTTTTTTACAATCTGAAAATTGGGGATTTTTTTAAATCGGAGAACCAGGATCCCTGATGATGACTTTTGATTCCATTAAAAAGCGTTTTAACTTTTTATTGTAAACATCTGTCTTTTGTCTGCTCCCCTTCTCTAAACCATGCTGTTTGTTAACAAGTGGTGGTCGAGGTTTACAGTTGATGCGTGCAACCGCCTAAAATAAGTCAGGACGGGAGATGTATCTATATGCACTTAATCAGAATCGTTGCATGGAGTGGTCAGTTCTGTGGAACAGCTCTGGACATTTGCAGTGTAACAGGATGATGTAATTCGTTCTGATTAAGTCATAGGTTAAAATCTATTTAAAATCTTTGTACAGTAATTACAAGTATTGGGATAATTTTTGTTTAAAAGATGCACGCAACAAAGTCTGCCGGTCACCCTTCCAGGGTGGGTAGCGTGTATTTCTCGTTCATTTTATCCACCCGTTGTCCTTTTGTTTGTGTTTTTATATTGTAGGCTTCTTGGGACTGGAACTGTCTTTTGATGAATATTTGTACAGGCCCTCCCCGTGCTAGTCCTAATGCCCTTGTGCAGTGTGGGGGGCCACTGTGACACCACAAAGCACTGCCCTGTTTAGCAGGGTGGGTGCCCCAGATCACAGGACTTCAACAAGAAGGATGCCTTGTCAAGTTACGGGTGGGGAATGACTTATTTCACTCTGACAGGTTGTCTTTGGGTCCCTTTCTAGAGAGGTTCCCAACAGCCTGTGCATGTTAGACTCCAGGTGAGGTTACGGATAAGATGAAGTTGTAGGTAGGTGCTGGTTTTTCCTGTACTATGGTTTGCGTCTCTGGGAGATTCTGAAACGCTTGCCATGGGTGTGGGAGCGCGGTATGAGATGCAGTGGGTTCCCTCTGTTGTATGGTGGTCCCAGCCTACCTGTGTCTGTTATCATCCCCTCCTTTCATCTGTCTGTCTGGTCCAGAGGCTCCTGCTGGCTGCATGAGCCATGTTTTTCGAGGCTGTGCTTCTGGTCTTCACTGAGACAGTGGATCACTTCTAGCCTTCTCGTCCTAACCTTCCACGCAAGCTTCTACATAAAATATTTTGCACAAATGGGTCTAGAGTCTGCACTCCCATAGCTTGGCTCACTAGTAAAACTGGCAGGAACATGTCATTTCCTCAATGGCTGAATGCGATGAGCTTCAGTGCGTCCAACCCAGAAGCTTGTCTAATACCTCTCCCACCTGTACAAGTTGGTGCCTGGCCTCACAAATCTTGCTTCTCATCAAAGCAACTGGCAAAGGGCTACAATCGTGATAAACCTTTGTGCTTAAGAGGCAAAAAATTTTCTTTCCATGGACAAATTTCTTTGTAGAGATTGTCCATGAGCACCTGGGTCCTAAGGCACTTAACCTTCAACCGGTCAAGCACACAGCGTCACTCTACAGAGCACTTCTGCTGAAATCAGTGAGGGCTGCGGATGTGATCCAGGGGGCTGGACTCAATGATCTTCCGAGGTCCCTTCCAGCCCAAATGTCTCTGAAATCTGTGAAACCTATGTGCTTAAATTTCTGCTGGGTCAAGGTTTAACCGCATAGGTAACTTTGAGGCAGAGGTCCCAATATTTTCAAAAATCCTTTAAAAAAAATAAAATTGTTCTTCAAGTATATTGGAACCCTAATATGTAATTGCCACAAAGGTGCATCTATTTTTAGCTTGTGCCCAAAAGCTTGCAATTAAAGATTTAAAGGTTTTTTTTGCAAAAATCTTGTTTGTCTAATAAAAGATCTCACCTCTATCACCGGTTCAGATTCCTTTTGCCTCCAGACCAATATGGCTCCAACCTGGATACCGGGTACATGGGAGACATCTATTTTTAGCTGCAACTTTTTCACATTGCTTTGCCATTACTGTTACATTCAATAGAATAAAATTTACAGTGAATGCAAAAATATTTGTATGTGGTAAAACACCTTAAAATTAATCAAATGCCCTTGAGTTCAAAAAAGCATTTCTCTGATGTTTTACACAGTAGCTCGCTTGGGGTAGGTCAGTTTTTAACCACTGTCAGGTTTTTGTTTTCTTTTCCCCCCTAAACAATTTCATTGAGAAATCAAGTTAAGTCCCTTTTGGCCCTCTGTGTGAACCTTGTGTGAACAGACTCTTATTTGCATTATGAGTTTCAAGTAATGCCGCATCACTCTTATTTATTTTAATCAAGTTTGAGTTCACCCCAATTTCATATTCATGTTACATGCTGTTGACGAGTAATGCCCAGGGATCAGCAGCATATGGCACGTGGGCCGGATCCAGCCTGTGGTGCTGGAGTGTTTTGCCTCCCAGCTGTTTGGCCCCAGCACAGATGTGGGGAAAGCCCTCCACCACTGGCGTGCCACTGAAGCCACCTAGCCCATGTTGGAGCCAGTGTGTATTGGCCCGTGGGTTGTAAGAGGTTGTTGGTTTGGAGAGTATTTCATAAACGTTAAGTAATACCCATATCCTTCTCATTCTGCAGATGGCTGGGGAAACTGAGGAAGACTTGGAACAGCAGTGGCTTGACTAAATTTTGCAGGAGGCATGGATACCAGAGGCAGGATTAGAGCTCTGGTGTTCCTGGCTCCTAGTCCTACAGATCACACATCTTTAGTAGTTTATCATGTTTGCAGTAGCACTTCCTTGGCTGTTGCATACACAATTTCAGTTTCCAAATGGACATTTGCAGGCCCTTTGCCCATAAAATGGCTTAGAGGTTTTGATACTTAAAGCATTAAGAAAGAAGCTGGCAGTACTCTTCCCACAGCTTTTCATGGTCGCTTGAATACACGTTGTCTTGTCCAGAGTATGAATCAATACCATGGTAATAGTCATCAGGATAATGGGGCATAATCTTTCTGGTCAATAATAGGCATTTTAAACCAATGCATACCTACATATCCTAGACAGATTCAGATGAAGTTCACCAAAGTCAGTGCCCTGTTCTTGGCTTGATGCGATAGGGTTAGGCTTTGGCTGGAGAGTAGAGCAAACTGTCAGCTGCCAGGAGTGCTTGAGCCTGGTTTTACCTGCTGTTAATGTAGCAAGTTTGAAAAGGAAGAATTCAGCTTCCTTACCAACCAGACAGGTATACAGTTATCATGGCTCTGTTAAGCTGTCAGGGAGCTGAATTCAGAGGTTTCTTTATTAGCGTGACCTTTTGCCACATGCACCGTTGCGCCGTAATTGCTAATTCAGATGTTCACGACGCTGCCTTCCCGAAGGCAGTGTTTTCCAGGTGTTCTCTGGTTCTGAAGGTGTTTCCAAAGGAAAATGAGGGAACATCTTAGAAGATGGGGATAGGCAACATGGGTGCAGCATTTGGATCGTACGATAGAGGCTTGCTGTGCAGCCTGTCTTGCACAATGGGTGTGATGACTTATGATCCGTCTTCTCTAAATGGCTTGACCTGGGTTTTGCACTGTGTGTTTGAGAATGCCTGAGTGTTGCCACTGAATAGCTACCCAGGGCTGATTACCTCCTATGGAGATCTCTAGTATTTTTCAAAACAATGAAGCTGCTGAATCTGAACTCATGGGCTCACGTGTGAGGGGTGAAACAATCATCCCGCTGAAGATGATATCAAAATTTCTATTATCCTTCAGTCAGTTGGCCCAGGATATTACCCCAGGTCCCTAAACCCACTTCCTTCCACCCCTGATTTTTAGTGCAAGACACTGGGAGATGGCAAGCCTGGCTTAGCGAGTCACAACTTAGGTGTGCATCGTACTGAACAGCAAAAAATACTCCGTGTCTCCAAGCCACTGGCTTCCGTGGTAGGATCAAGCCCTGCCTGCTTCCCGGGCTTTGTAAAGCCTCTGAAACGCCAGCGCTGCTTTGGAGCAAACGCTTCGACTTGAGGCTGAGCGAGTTGGGAATCCTGTATTCTTTCTGTAAATCTTAAAATATGCTAAAACTTTCCTAAAATAGAGGAGCCGTAAAAATAGCAAACACTCGCAGCACAACAAAACCAGCATCTTAGAGGCTTTAATGCTAGCAGGAGCTGTCCCGTGGGCTTCTCAAATGCTTTAGATGATATCCTCAGTTTTACAGCAGAGACTAACAGGAATTGTAACTTGACTTGCATCTCTTTTCTTGATTGTTTACTGTAACTGTAAGTTTCTTTTTTTCTTTAAAGACTTATACAAGTCTTATCTCTGGGTGAGTGCATAATAAATTAATCGCTTGCAGAATAAAGAGACATCTTGTAATATACAGTTAGCCTTTTATATAGCAACGACGCCGGTCATGCTTCATCTGTATCATGTAATTGTGGGACGGAGATGTCACAGATGCTAGCCCCTGAAAAATGTAGAATAGTAATAATAATAAGGACTAATAACAGTCAGTCCAATAGAGAGACTGAATTTCCCCGGTTGAGAGAGGGGATGGAAATCCCCTCACTCAGAATAGCAAGTAGCAAATTATCCAAAGTGGCTCAGCTCCTGGATCGTCTGTTTAGCTATTTGAAAGTCAACCTTCATTTTGAATTCTGTGACTTCTTGGGTTGTGGCCCTTGTATTTAAATGAATTTGCCTGCCTTGCATCTGCTTAACACACACGATTGGACTATGAAACACTTTGAAGTGGAGCACTATAAAAATGCTAAATATTACCACTATTGTGCTGCCATAGATCATCTCAAATCAGGTTTTTTTCCCTCTTTTTTTAATGCATAAAATATATAGAAAAAATGTAAAATCTGAACTCTGTTACCCGTGAAGGAATGGAGTTGAGTTGTGTCCGCTAGCAGGTACATAGGTCACTTTTTAATTTAATTTTTTGCAGCATTATTTATATGACCTCATAGAATAGACGCTCTCCTAAACGCGTTGGCAAAGGCATACGTGAACGACCAGTAATTATCTTGACTCTATTTAAAAATACAAAGCTGTATTTTTTCCGTAAGAAATAACTAGGTTGCTAAGAGACAATGCAGTGTAAGCCATCCGCATGCTTTATGATGTTTTGCTTGAAAGTTATTGAATGAAGCTTTTCAAGTTTAATTTCTTTCTTTCTTTTTGTTCTTTTTTTTAACGTAATGCCTCTAACTTGAATTTTTTTGGGCTATTCTTGAACATAGCCTACCTATACCTTCACTTATCTGTCCATAAAAGTCTTGTGAAAACATACAAAAGATATTTTGTTCAACGACATCAGAGGGAGAAAATATTCTTAGAAAATTTCATGCTGTTAAATCTCTACAGATTTACAGTTTTATCCAGTCAAATTAATGCAAAACCCCAATGCAAGCATTTGGATTTTGAAAACTTTGGAGGAGTGTCATTTCCTAATAGTAATTATTGGTTTTACATTATTTTTTCACAGGGGAGCTGATCACAGCCGCATATGAGCTTGGAGTAAGTATTAGTTTTATTGTTTAATCAATGCTCTCATTAACAGTTTTAGGAATTAAGGAAGTTTAATTAAGCATGGAGTAAAGTAGATTAATTTATTTTCAAACCACAGTTTTTACTAACTTATAAGTACAGCACGCGACAATTTACTTCAAGTTTTAAATCCAATTAAACTAAATTATAAAGCAAAGGCTTTACTGTATATACAGTAGCTGGCTTATTATCAACCCAAATTTTGTATAAGCTGGGGAGAATAAAATAAATCGGGTTAACAATTTTAATAAGTTTTATTATTTAATAAACTTTATTATGGTGCATGATCCCTTTAGGCAAGACCTTAGGACTGTCAGCGTGGTGGTAATCCGATAGCAGTGTGGTCTTTCAACTGCTAACCAATAAAATAGTTCAGAATCTGCTTTTTAAAAACAGCCTTTTGAATGACCCTAATATACTGTGAACCCAAACAACACGCAATTTAAGAAACGATAATAAAATGTGTCACCTTTTTTCTGGGTGGTTCATTATTATTGGTGATGTGTGTAGGCAAAGCGACTATGGAAAATATTTGCTAAGTTACAGTTGGCATAGAAAGGTAGTACCGAAAAGCTGCTGTGCAAAGCCCCCTAGATTTTGGGGCTAGACCCTCATGTCAAGTGCCAGGGTAATTGGGGAGGGGGGGGGCATGTCTCAGGATGCCATCGTCCTTTTATTTCAGTTGCATGGAAACTTTGTGATCCGTTTTCCTGATTTGTCCATAGGTTGCCCATCCTCCTGGTTACCCTTTGTTCACTCTGCTGGCCAAACTGGTAATTGGTCTATTCCCTTTTGGCTCCATCGCGTACCGAGTAAATCTCCTCTGTGCCTTACTGGGAGCAGCTGCAGCCTCGTTGCTTTTTTACACAGTTTTCAGGTAAAGTAACGCTCATCATCGGCCTCGTTTTGTTGGTTCACTTTCACGGCCTTTCAGGAAGTCGGTGAGATGAACCAGGAGTGTGTCGTCTCCCCCAGTCCCTCCCACCCCTGCCCGGCCTTCTAGCTCTCGTTTTCTCCCCTGTATTTTCCGTGAACTGTAATCAGTTCATTTGGTTTAAACGAACAGGAGTTGAATCTAAGTCTGACCTTGTTTCCTTCACAAAAGGATTTTTTTTTTTTACATTTAAAAGAAAAACACCCCGCCCTCTCATCTTACAAAGGAGTGACAAGTTGTTCGGTCTCATTATCACAAATCACTCATCAGTTTAACTAACCAGAACTAATGAAGTTTGTCGTTATGTAAAGATGCAGATGGTCCGTTTGTTTAAATTAACAAGAGGAGCTTCACCTATCGGTAAACTGTAAACTTAATTGAATTGCTAGTGTTCAAGCAGAGGGGCAGCTGCCGGTCGGGCGGAGGTACCTGGTCTGTCCTCCTGCCTGTGCTATGTTCTAGTTTCAGTGCGAGTGGAGAGATGTTCTCACGGAGAATAGTTCCCGGAAGGATAATCTCAAACAGCAAGGATCGATATTGGCTGCTCCGTTTATTTTGGTGGTTTTACTGTTTTTTCCCCCCCAACTGGAGAAATCAGGCGAGCCACCGTATCCCATCCGCTTGGTCTAGACCTCTAACCCTGTAAAAAGGAAACAATTGGAATTGCTTGGGATTTGGGATATTTTATGTTAACCCGAGTTGTCTTCGGTGTGGAAGGACCTCTACTCTTAACCTTAGCCTGACCCATATTTGAGAGGATTATGGCAGCCGATGCAAACAGTTTCTGATTTTCATCTCTCATAGAAATAGAGCATATTTCCGTGTTGAAATTATCATCAGAATCTGAAAGCATGTAGGAAATTTTTGTATGCTTTCTGAGCGCAAGCACATAACGTAGGGCATTATAACAACCAAGGTTAGGTGGGCAAAAGCAGTTTCTCTTACCAAATGTAGCGCTCTGACCTCGGTGGAGAAATCTCTTCCGCAGACAAAATAAAATTAAATAAATGAGAAAATTAAGAGGGCCAGATCTTGTGGAGCTAAGCACCTTCGACGCCCACAGTCTTCAGTAGGAGCTGAGAACTCACAGCATTGCGTTACATCAGTCCCCTCTCCTTATACAAACTCTCTGACCAAAAAGACAGATATTTTGACAAAATGAACATAACTTAAAACATAACATCGAATTTCTTTTTAGACACAGTATTTTTACTATACACTGAAATACTTGTGTTTTGCAGTATCAATACCTAATATTATTTCCTAGACATTTTTGTATAATAATTTATAAATACAAATTGCATTAATCATTATTCGTTTAATCCTAAACATAGTTGTGCTAATGTCTTCAATTAAAAGTCCCACAGTTTTAACGGGCTTTGAGTGTAGGAATTACCACTTACTATGTACAGCACCAAGCACACGATGGCAGGGCACAATAAATAATAATAGTTGGTTTAATTACTGAAAGAGAGAGAGAGGGGGTACTTTTTCCTGTCCTAAATATTTCTGGTTAATTTTTATTATAAATTTTCTTCCTCCTTCCACTATCACAAAGGGCCTATTCTAATGTTAAATTTCAGTAAATAATAAATTGGTTTGTTCAAGTTATAAACTGAAGGTAAACATTTTTTCACATCCAAAAACTGTTTATTAAAGACTACAAAACTGATGTGTTAGTTCATATGGTTTTTTTGTTGTGTTTTGTGTTACCTTTTTTGTTTTGTACTTTTAGCAAAACAGGGAATTTTATGTTTAAATTTGATAGACCTGGAATCATATTTAAAACAACAGAAAAACTTGAAATGTCTGAATCAGTAGAATCTTGTATGTGTATGAACTCACTTTTATGAACTCTTAATACTATATATATATAATGATCATGGGATCTGAATAATGCCAGTTGATAAACTGCATCTTAAGGCTTTGGGTATCAAATATCGTTCAAAATTATACTGTCTTGTCTTTTTCTTGTCAAATCTAGTTTTAATGTTTACAGACAGCCATTTAATAAATGTTACTTTCTGTGTCTGATCTACACACTTCAAACATCTTCTGAAATGCTTAGTATTGATGTTATCCACGTGAAAGATTTCAAGATATTACGGGCTGTTGCATTCTTTTAAACAATAATTATAGACATCCCTGAGCAATTTAAAAAAAAGAGCATAAAATGCTTATATTTTTTTTGTGCACTAATTATCATTTAAGTGACCTTTACAAGGCCTTCAGCATCGAGACAAAAATAGCCAACTGCTCTGTGCTGCTGTACGTATGCTGTAGATGTTAATATGAAAATATATAGATGTTAAGAATACAAATAATTGATGAAGTATGCATCCTTTGGGAACAACTCGGTTCAAGTGGCAAATCTCTCTTGTCAAACAATAGACACCCTTCAGAAAGGAGCAAGCCATCTCTATGGTAATAGGACTAACAGTGCCCTATTGATTGAGTGGAAGAAGACATTATACAATGTCAGTTGGGTTGTTACAATTTCATTTGTTGTGTGACCTGAACTTAACCTCTAAAACCTTTCTTCTGTGAGCGTAAAACCACCAGCAGGGCACGTTTGCTGCACGCCATTACAGGGTAGCATTTCTTTCCCCCAGCATGTGTGTACTGTAAATATATATTCTTTTAACAGGTTTATTTCTTTGCCAGGCATTTGTTTAAGAGAGATCTTGCAAGTCTATTCATTTGCAGGTCAAAACAATGTATTTTGCTGATTTACTGCTCACTGTGGTTACTGCTGGAATAGAGGTAAAGACGCTCCTCTTTCTTTCCTAACACGGATTTCGTTTCTTAAAACAAAGTGCAGTTGAAACCACGTCTAATTTTAAAAGCCCTGATTTCAGCAGTCCAGTTACAATAGCATCACAGTTACAAAGTAAGAGTTTTTCATCTTTAAATTGCTCAAGCAACTGCTTTTAGCAAACCTAAAATGGCATTGATAAAGAAGTCCAAGTGCTGAGAGTAGATGCAAATCAGTCGTTTTTGTTTTGTAACTCGGAAAAAATGAATTTATAGTCCCCATGTAGAGAAAGCATGGCTCTGATTTAGCCTTTAAACGAATATTTGTTAGTTTTCACTGGAAGTCAGGGAAAGACTAGCAAATTTACAAGACATACCACTTTTAAGTTCTTATATGATTGCCAAAGTATAATTTCTTTTGCATAAAATATGCATTCTTGACATTCTCTGATCTGGAGAGAAGTTTAGTCTTGTCTCGTACATTGCTGGAAGTATGCATTTTTGAAATTGTGCATTTCAGTGACCTCTCCCGAGTTGTTTCTGGAAGTAGCCTTTGGTGAAATAACCTTACCTGCAGAGGCGGCGCAGTACAAGGCATTGTTTCATGAGAGCCTCTTGCAAGTTTGGCAGCTTTGTTCTCAGTGTGGGTTGTACCATTTGAAGTTCTTGTATAGTATTGAGAAGAAAAGAATCTGTGTTAATTCGCAGAAAAAAAATGAACAGCTGAGGTTCCCTTTTTTCCCCCATTCCAACTACTGCTTCAACCTGTGTCATGTGTTAAAATTGCATGCCGTTTTTCCAAACCAGCATACAATGTGATAAACAGTGATCATAAATGAAAAGACAAAGCCTTTCCTCCACCCAAAACGTAACACTGTATAGGTGGAATCTTAATGCATTAAAAAACCTAAGGTTTATTGTGTCAATGCATGATGCTTAGTTGGAGAACAAATCTTGTCTCGCGTGCTCTGGAAAGTCAGGAAGATCTTTTTGTACCTTCCGGGGTGCTGTTATTGTTAATGGAGGGAGAAAAGCAGAAGGATGAACACAGTTGTTATATTTAACTTTTTTTTTTTAATTAGGGTATGTCCTTCAAATAAAACAGAAGCAGAACAGAAAAGCCCTCAGCCATGTGCAGGAGGGAAAAGCACCCCATGTGCTTCAGATATCAATCTGCTCCTGCAGTAGTCGCCACTGAACAGTCCAACTTTTTGATGGAGTTGAAAGAGTACTTGAGCATCAGAGAAAAGCACGCCTTTGTTGCATGTCAAAGTTAAACCAAAAGCATAGAAATTAAGCATCTGCATGCAGTGTAACGAGAGAGAGGTTAATTTAATGCATTGCCCCTACAGTACGCTGAGCTGATGAAAGTATGTTTTGGAGCATTTTACACATTTACATTTTGATTATGTTCATTTTCAGACAAATTGACTTATCAGAGTTTTCATTACAGGTAATGTAGGGATCCGGGGCAGTTTTCAAACGTTCTGAGGCTATAACACAAAAATTTGTTTTATTAATCAGAAGCAAGTGGGGAGTACTTCACTCAAAGCAGGGAGCTTATTCTTTTCCATTGTTATACCCCTGACCATCGCCCTATTCAGCAAATGGGAGACCTTACAGAATAAGGAATCACTTTGTTGAGGTATATTTGGATTTTCCAGATTAGAGATTATTTTAGATTATAGTCATTGGAGCACAACGTGGCGACCTCTGCAATTTCAAAAGCAGCTAGGCATAAGTAGCAAGTAGCTGCTAAGTTTTAGTGGGACTGGACGAGTGGAAGGTAGTACCTAAGTAGTAACTTCCTTTTAGAAGAACATCTGCCAGGACCCCTGGCTAATTGATCTCACACAGTTTTTCCTGCCCCATCTCGTGTGTACTAAAATTGCAATGAGTTTAGACTGTTTAAAGACACTAACAGATCTGTTCATTTGCATTTTGTTATAAAGTAGGCACATTAGGCTCAAATAGCTGTGCTTCATTTGGAAGAAAAAAAAAAGCAGGGCAAAAACTCTTCCTCTTTTTTTTTTTTTTTTTAAAAGACTGAAGAGTCTTTTCTGACAGCTAGTCAGAGTTAGAATTAGTTCAAGGAAATGTTAATAATGCACTGCCTAGCTTAATCCCTTTGATATCACCAGGTATCCTCCTGTTCATGGGTTAATTGCTTTAAAAGCGGAGGCAATATT